GACATAAACCTGTCCCTCAAATCAGGAACATGTTTCACTTGGTGAAATCAGGTTCTTTGGTTCGCAAATCATTTTCTCATTCACCTTTCCCATATAGGGAAGTGTTCGTTTAAGTTATAAGCCATGAACTAAAACAACCAGCTATGAGGTGAATAACAACCTTTCAAACTCAGGAAAAACTTTTAATTTATTATTATTATTTTTTTTTTAACTTTTCTAACAAACTGACAGAAGCTTAATTAATTAATAGCTAAATTAAAAATCTTGATAATGGAACTACTGTTTGAATTCCTCAATTAGGAAGTAATAGGGCAGTAATGTGCTGAGCCCCGGATGTTGTCTTTATAGACCATCATCTTCATCCTCATCATCCTCATCTGAGCCAAAGCCTGATCCAGCAAACTCACGAGCCAGGCAGGATTACCCACTCCAGTGAAACTTTAGCCCCGTTTCAAAGAGACTGGCAGGGATTAGACAATTACCCGTTAATGCTCTCGTCTGCCAAGAGTCCACAGCAAACAGTGCTCATCTGGGCCCGATTACTCTCTTAAAGTATCACTCTACAAGAGAAACAGCCCACACTTGCTTCACATACTCGCACATACTGCTTTTGGTCATTTTAATTTACAAACACTGCAGACACAGATCGAGATATCCTTGTCATGGAGGTCCAGTCTATGTGTTCATGATGTCCGCTTGAACCTCCAAACGCTTCTCTGAAGTTATCGGTGGATGAGATATCTCGGGAATATAATTAGACTTCTGCTACCGGCACACTAAAACTATAACCTGGTGTCTTTCTTCCATGCTTCCTATGGTGTTTGCTGTTACTGTAAAAGACTGTTGTTAAACTTTTCTATTATTATTATCATTGTTAGTTATTATTATTAGTTGTAAAAATACCTTACCCAGAACTAACATTTCTGATTGCCTATTGCTCTAGCAATTATAAGCATTTTATGTGTTCAGCCTCCAAATCTCTCAGGTTTTGAATGTATGTAACTTTGAATCTCGCTTTAAACAGCCTCACGCTGCCTTCACACTGGCAGTTGAAATCAGCTCCGTAATACGCAATACGTTCCCAACGGACGTCGTACTACACAGTGAAAAGCGTTGGACGCGGGTAGAACAAAAATGGCGGAGAGATTAAAGTTTGATTCTGTCAGTTCTGTATGATCTCTCTGATTAGGGTTATGCTGCGTGAGGAAAGTTGCTCAGGACGTTGACATGTCAGGTCGGCTAAAAATGTGATATAGTGGTCAATAGTTCAATGTCTACCTTCAATTTAATTGTATTAACTGCCCTTATAAACGTTAGAAAGTCATTAAAAAAATGACATCACAAATTATCGTTATAAAATCAATATTTATTTTATTAAAAGTTAATAATTCAGGTTTGTTTATCAGTAGGCTACCATAGCAACGCTCAACTTCCGCTGGAATTGTCGGATAGGAACCGTCCGTAGCTTTTCGCAAGAGTTCAAATTTATGAACGCATCCGGATGACCAACGGACACGATTTTCTTCGCACCGCACTCGGTCGGACCCGTTTCGGACCCATTCGCATGCGGTCTGCGAATCTCCATAGGAAATGAATGACTTCCGGTCGTTTCGCAGCCGCATCGGAGCTGATTTCAACTGCCAGTGTGAAGGCGGCGTTAAAGGAGTATAGCTAACTTTTAAAAAAACGTGCAGATAATTTACTCACCCCCATGTCATCCATGATGTCCATGTCTTCCATTCTTCAGTCCAAAAGAAATGAAGGTTTTTGATGAAAACATTCCAGGATTTTAATGGACTTCAATGGGAACCAAACGGTTCAAGGTCCAAATGAGAGTTTCAGTGCAGCTTCAAAGGCCTTTAAACGACACCAGACGATGAAGGAGGGTCTTGTCTAGCGAAACGATCGCTCATTTAAAAAATAAATAGAAAAGTTTAAGTTTTGTAACTCGTTCATCAAAATGAACAAATCTTTTTTCGAGTCATGACTCGAAGGGTCCTAGATAAGACCCTTATTCATCCTCTGGTGTCGTTTAAAGCCCTTTGAATCTGCACTGAAACTCTCATTTGGACCTTGAACCGTTTGGTTCCCAATGAAGTCCATTATATGGAGAAAATCCTGGAATGTTTTCATCAAAAACCTTAATTTCTTTTCGACTGAAGAAAGAAAGACGTGGGCATCTTGGGTGACATGGGGGTGAGTAAATTATCAGCGAAAGTTTTTTTTTTTTAAAGTGAACTACTTTAACCTTCAATATTGCCTACATAACCTGCAAAGCTCAAGAGTTTTCCCCCCACAATTTTAACAAGGCTGTAGTTATTATTAGCCTTAATGCAAAAACAATATAAGTCCACCCTAGTTGAATGAACAGTGAAAGCGGGACATGAAAGCAGAGAGATGAACAGATGAATGATGGTCTGGAAAGAATGATTGAGGGATGTGGTGAATAACAGGAGTGAGGAGATGTGTCTGAGGCAAGTTTGAGTCCTTTTCCCTGCGGATTCGAAGACGTCCTGTTTTACTTTTCCTTTCCTGCAGGAAGCTACTCCACACTGTGTGCAAAGACCTCACACACACACACACACACACACACACACACACCATTTCAATCACATGTGCAAATAAATAAGAGCACTTCTAACCAGATGCACAGCACACTTCACAAATACATTTTTCTCCCAACATGCTTGAATGAATCAATGTTCTTCGTCGTACGGTTCATCTTCAAGCAATCGAGTGCTTGATTGCTCTGAACTTTCATCCTGTATTAAATGTTTGTCAGTTTTTATGCTACAATGATTTCCGAGACCCTTTTAGCAGAGAGAACATTGTTAAGAGGAGGATGAATGCGTGCTGAGTGTAAGAGAGAAGGTGTCATGGCTGCTTGTTGTCGTGGAGACGTGATGCGATAAGATCTCCCATGATTCATAGCCACCCACATGTAGTCTTTTGTACTGTGGGACAGTGGTTGCCTGGCGACTGCGGATCCTCACCTGAGTTACACCTGCACAGTTTTGCTCCATTAACTTTGAGGATTTAAACATGTCGACTATCACTTTCTCTTCATGCGTGTAAATGCATCTGTGTGTTACTAACTATATCCGTGTTATGGAGTGTGTATCAGAAAATATAGTAAATATAAGATAAATATAGCAAGTGTCTGATTATTTTATTTGAACATGCACCATTGCACTGGTTTAAAGCAAGACGAACAGGGCCATGTTTATATAGGAGTCAGTTTCCACTGCCTTTATACTCAAAATAATAGAGAAGACTTTCAACTTCATTCAACATTTCATTCAACATATAGCCTAACTTCACAATACTTTGCATAAATAAGCATTTCATTTTGAATGTTTGTAGACTGCAAATGATCAATGCAATGAGATATAGCCTACTGAAGGACGGACACACACACACACAGAAAGAGAGAGAGAGAGAGAGAGAGAGAGAGAGAGAGTGTGTGTGTTCCTTTGATGATGTCCACCTGTCACAGTAGGAGCAGGAGAACATCCCTCCGTCTTAATCCCTCTTTCCGTTCCTCCATTTTCTCCTCTCTGCATGCACTTTTCCCTCCCTGTTTCCTTCCCTGGAAAAGATGTTTGATCATTGATCTTATATGAAGGAAAATCTAGTAAATATTAAATTAGTTTAGCTTTCTACTTTATGTAACACTTCAGCTCATTTTGATAGGATTATAAGTGTAAACATTGACTTAAAGGGTTAGTTCACCCAAAAATGAAAATTAAGTCATTAATTACTCACCCCCATGCTGTACCAACCCCGTAAGACCTTCGTTCGTCTTCGGAACACAAATGAAGATATTTTTGATTAAATTTGAGAGCTGTATAACTACCACATTGGCTCCTAAGGGACTGGCTCTTGACGGCCCAGAAAGTCAATGAAGAAAATGTTTAAATATCCCAAGTGACTACCGTGGCTCAACTATATGTTTATCAAGCGACGCGAATACTTTTTGTGCGAAAAAACAAACAAAAATAACGAGTTTATTCGACTATTTCTTTTCTTCCTTGTAGGCCAGAAACGAGACTTCCTTAGATTTCCACGACGCATGCGCGAGAATTGCGATCTGCTTACACTACTTCAGATCGCAATTCTCGCGCATGAAATAGTCGAATAAACTTAATGACTTAATTTTCATTTTTGGGTGAACTAACCCTTTAATATATTGATTTATTTTGATTCAATAAGATTATAAATGTATTATAAGTGTCGTGTAAATGCATTAACCAGATTTTCACAATCGGAAGTAAGCAATGTATATTTATCAGATATTGGGTTAGAGACTTTTTTTGCAACCATTAGAAGGAACGTTTTTCATTTTTAATTTTTTTTTACAAAAAAGCTGGACTCTATGACATTATTTTCTTCTAGATCTGCTGTAGCAGAAACAAACATTGTTGCATTATGTTCCTGTTATCTCTGTAAAGCTGCTTGATACAATCTGTATTGTAAAAGCACTATATAAATAAAGGTGACTTGAATTGAGTCCTCACTTTGTGTTATTGTTCTTGTTTATTTGCTAAAACACATCATAATTAATGGCAAGAGTGAACATTTACAGTTTGTCTTAGTTTATTCCGATTTATTTGAGCACCACTGATGTATTTACTTGAATTCAAAGCACTGGTGAAGTGATGGTAACTTTATTTGATTATGCCACTGATGATGTGACGGGATTAACAACAGTTTATCGGGAAAAACATGTATGAAAAATCATATTTAGTGTTTTGCTCAGGTGTCTGTGAGGCATTTGTTTAGGCATAATTGTTGAGTTAGGCGATATCACTAACCTGTGTGTGCACGCGCGTGTCAGAAAGTGCACTTTTTTGTCTTTCAAAGTATATTAAGCACGCATTATAAACTTATGCATACATTTCTATCCTCTTTCTCCTTCTCCTCCCTCTTCCTTCCTTCCCCCTCCACACACACACACACACACACACAGACACACACACACACACACACACACACACACATACACACTCGCTGTTCTTCTCCTCGGGTAGCCTTGCAAACCATGGGTCTTGTTCACACCTGAACGTGCATTTGTACTCGTGTTGGGGTTGACAAACCTGGTGAGTTTTTAGGAATATTGTGTATTTTTATTTATTTATTTATTTATTTTTAAGTAAAAGATGTTCGTTCTTCTGGTGGAAAATATGTGATTTGTTAATTTTTTTGTAGATATTTTTTTTTCGGTTTATTAAGGTTAAAATTAGTAAAGGTTAAAATAAAATTTAAGTTTACGGTAAAACGATTAACTCTTAAAATGTTTATTTTAAGACCAATTTGTTCTCCAGCAGAATTTTCAAAAACTTTCACAGTTGTTTATAAAAATATATATACAAGAATAGATTTTTTTATATATATAATTCGTATATACTTGTGATAACGTAACATATGAGACAAGCTTGTCATTTATATTATCAAAGAACATTGGCTAATTGTTGCATATATACAGGCTGCTAACAGCGATGACTAATGAGTTCAACTCATTTCCACAACCATTATAACTTAGGCTACAAGATCATTAATGTCCTCAGAATATAAATAGCCTATAACACGTTTTACTTCAATAATTTTGTTATGGAGTTATTTAATGTGTGTGCAAATTTAAGCAGAATTAAGTCACTGGTTTAACGTTGAACTGGATTTTATATGGGTTTTGAATTTGTATGTCGACTCAATTATATTTTATAACATTTAACTTTATAAATACCGACACTTATTTTTTAACACTATGAGTAATTGAATCGTGCTATTATTTTAATTCATTTATATTTTAAGGGTGGTTATTATGTAGCCTATGTATGGCCTATATATAAACTATGTTGATGTACAGTAGTCTATGCTTGAGATATTAATTTACGTCGTGGCCTTTTAACAAACCAGAATATGCCCTGTTCGTTATGAAACTACAGCTTCAGATCATCCTAGGTCAAACATGCTGAATAAAGGTCATAATAACCCAAAAGTAGCTACATATAACGCAAAATAAATAACAACCATAACAATAATAAATCCATCAAATAAAATAAGTGAAAATGTATGAACTGCGGTTAAACTTCATGAAGATTATAAATGTCGGGTATCAGTAAGGACAGTTCATCTAAATGTGAAGTTAAAACACTTGTTGTGTTGAATAGCTTATTGTAGACAAGTAGCCAAGACGAATTAAAAACCTGGCAGCCACTGACCTGTGAAAAATCATAAACCATGTTTTCAAAAACACCATACAGAATGATGCACGTGGACAATTACACCCACGCGACCGCACAGAGAACTGGCGCCTATTATTATTAATATATTTTTTTTTAATTTTGGTGTTGTCAAGTGTAAAAACTTTACGGCCAAAACGTTTTGAGAAATTAATTACATTATTAATAAGTAGGCCTGTGCTGTTATTGGCTATATTAGCCTAGTAAAGTAGACATATGCATCTATAACTTTAACTCTTTTAAATATTCACGTGCGTGCATCATGCACAAACTGAATGTATTTTTAATTAAATGTATTTTTCTTCACCATGTTTTATTCTCGGTTATCTTTTGGGTATTTTCCATAAGTTCATATGAATAAGGGGGGAAATACGTCTAATTTGTGTAATTAGCCTAATTACATGCTTATTTACTTATGGATATTGTTCGCGCTATAGGCCTATATTTAACTGTGCTTTTGGGAATAACGAACTAACGTCATAGGTAGACTAGTGTATCTCAGGAAACCAATCATGCACAAATTGTTTGGTCCTGGAAGATGCAATTTCTGTCATTTTCGGCTACATGTTGACATTTTTTATATATGCATTTAAATGCATAGACACATTCAGAATTGTAAGCTGGAAAAAGGAGGTCACATCCACCAAAACACACATTAGTGATCATTCGTATCCTTTAATTTTCTTGACAAACACTTAAAGTAGGCTAACTTAGGCTACTAAAAATTTAAAATGAATAGAACTATTCCCAGAAATTTGGGAATAACTCACAAAATAGCTAAATAGAACCGAGCCAAACACGAGAGGGATATGAATCACATCATGACACAAGAAAAATCATAAAGATAAATGAAATCGATCAATTTAAAGGAAAATTACAGGAATGTTGTAAATAATAAGTTGGATGTGTTATAGACATTGGTCGGTAATTATAGCAGTGATGATGTAACATAACCTATCTATATCCATTTGTCCATATTGTGCGTAAATTTTTTTTTTTTTTTCATGAAATCTCTATTTCTATTTGTATTTTAAGAATGGTTAAGAACTGCGCACGGCTCCTGCACCTGTCATATGAACTAATTATGTCTTCCAAAAACTGTGTCGGTTTCCAGTTGTTGCTTCCATTGACGTGCTGAGAGACATAGTTCAGAATTTAGAGTATGAAGCAAAATAGATGAAGCATAGGCTACGAATCAGGAAGCTTTGTGCCCTACCGCATCAAATATGTGTGAATGTGAGAGAGTGTGTGAGGAAAAGAGAAGGCGGGCTTACACGGAGAAGCCAAAGCACAATTTGCCCTCCTTCTCCAGGAGTCTCTAGTTGAGGAGAAACTCTGAAGCGCGAGAGCTTTCTAACATTAAGCTGCACACGTACACAAACAGAAAGAACGAAAAATTTGTATAAAAAACACTCTCCCTTCACGGGATAGTTTCGACTAGTTAGCATTGCTGAACTGTTTTTATTAGTCCACGGTTTTGTTTTGGTGCAGGTCTGCGCGCGCAATGATGGCCACCTTCCCAGGCCCGGAGGATAACGGCATGATCCTCATGGACACTACCTCGAGCTCAACGGAGAAAGACCGGACAAAAGACGAACCTCCTCCGGAGAAGGGACCGGACAAATCCGACCCCACACAGAAACCCCCGTACTCCTATGTGGCGTTAATCGCGATGGCGATCCGCGAGAGCTCGGAAAAGCGTCTCACGCTGTCCGGTATCTACCAGTACATCATCAGTAAGTTTCCTTTCTACGAGAAGAACAAGAAAGGATGGCAGAACAGCATCCGACACAACCTGTCTCTCAACGAGTGCTTTATTAAAGTGCCTCGGGAGGGCGGTGGCGAACGGAAGGGGAACTACTGGACCCTGGACCCGGCGTGCGAGGACATGTTCGAGAAGGGCAACTACCGGAGACGACGGCGCATGAAGAGACCGTTCAGGCCTCCACCGACTCACTTCCAGCCGGGCAAGTCTCTGTTCGGCGGAGACGGGTACGGTTACCTCTCTCCGCCCAAGTACCTGCAGTCCGGGTTTATCAATAACTCATGGTCTCCCGCGCCTATGCCGTACACCTCCTGTCAGATGAGCGGTGGGAGCGTGAGTCCCGTTAACGTGAAAGGCTTGACCGCGCCGTCCTCGTACAACCCGTACTCGCGCGTGCAGAGCATAGGTCTCCAGGGCATGGTGAACTCTTACAACGGCATGAGCCACCATCACCACCACCACCACCACACGCTCCCTCACGCGCAGCAGCTGAGTCCCGCGACGGCGGCGCCTCCTCCGGTGTCCGGCGGGAACGGGACGGGGCTTCAGTTCGCCTGCGCGCGCCAGCCCGCGGAACTCTCCATGATGCACTGCTCCTACTGGGACCACGAGAGCAAACACTCCGCACTGCACGCGCGAATCGATATATAGACCAAACACAGATCAATACTGCCCTCACAAATAGACTTTAAAACAAGGTCCAGCGATCTCAAAAAAACACATTTCGTAAGTTGTGCGGGGACTTAACATAACATGGAGCCTCGAATTATGGAAGCACGGGTATCCAATCCTGCCCTGATGCAAGGTTTCATATTTTTCTTCGCAGACATTTGTGTTCTGAATGTGTATATGTTTATAAGAAGATGGCCAGATCATCGAAGGTTTATCATCTTCGTGGAATTACAAATCATGTTTACCTGAATCCGTTCACAACATTCTGTCAGTGACTTTGGAGTGAAGTATTGGGTATTCTGAACCCTATTCCCAATTCATATTTTTTATTGTCTTTGCTTTTGAATGTTTAAGGATGCAGTGGAGCTCTGGACAGGTAACCCGAAGAGACACAAACACACATGTATACACCTGTGTTTTGGCCTCTTGATTCCGTGATTAAGGGTCTCGTAGGGGTCAGAGCACGTGACTGCCAGTTTGGACTGTTTTGTATGTACTTTTATTTGTAATTAAATAATTTTAATGTCTATGACACAATGGGACCATGTTTAACTAGCACTTTTCAGTTTTTTTAAATAGATCTACTTTTTATTCTTTAATAAACTCTTTGTCAACATGACACTGATTTTGGATTTTATAATTTATAGAGGCTATAATTATGCTATTATTATTAGGCCTGTTATATAACAAGATTAGCTATTTGAATCAGAGTGCTCTTAACTGTTTAGATCAAGGCCAGAAACTACATTTGGCCTTCCACTAATATTTTATCGTAGTGTGTTTATCCAGGCATTAATATAGAGTTTTATGAGAGATTTAGCCCACTGTTTGAAAATATTTTCCAAATAGGACTACGTCGAAAATAATTTCTAAAAATGACTCAACTTCTAAAGTTTCTCGATCGTGTAAAAGTCAATTCTATGCGAATACATATGAAGTAGCCTAATATGTGGCCAGATGAGGGAAAATTGCGTCAACTTTTAAGACAAATTATTTAGCTGGATTTGTAAATATTTAGCCCGGTCAAATCAATATATTCGCTATTACTGGCCGCATCTGTTGTCAGCTTTTTAACATGTCGCATATTTCACATAAACAGTTTATCGCTTTTTATTTCTTGTCTTTAAAAATAATTTTACTAGAAGTAGGCCTACAGTTGCTGTAAAATACAATGTAAGTATCTCTGGGAATTTATTATAGCCTAAAATGCACATCTGAAAAACTAGATTTTTTTAAACAAAATGTAGGCCTATGTTTTTGCACGATTCAATTTTCTATAAAGAAAATTTTACGCAAACATTAAAATAACATAGCCTATTTTGATTGAAACATTTTTACATAATAGCTAGGCTAATGTTTAATAAATCACAGTTATAATATAATATAGGCCTACAGTGAAATAATTGGCAATGTAGCCTAATGAAACTTTAGAAAATATATTTTAGGATAATGTAATAGTGAAATTAAAAGCGTCTTTGTCCGCGCGTCATAAAGCTGAACGGCTATAACGGGCCTATAACGTTAAGTAGGCCTAAATAGTGTTTTATAAAACTAGATTAGGCCTATATAGTGGATTCGTATAGTTAATGATAAGGATCGTTATTTGAGTAGCCTATAGCTATCGAATATTTGAACATTACATTAATAAAACTATGGAGACATGATTAATTAAAAAAAAAAAAAAAAAAAAAAACAATAAGGCGAAAAAACATTATAGCCTACTGAGAAGTTGGTTTTGATTGTTCGAATGTATCCAGGCCTATTTGTTTAATTTTAATTTACTTTTTTAATCATTAGAGTTATAGCTAATCTTAAACCTTTTCTTCGATATTTGGACGATCGGCTTATTATTGAGCTATCTCCCCCGTCATGTCCTCTCCAGGAGCCTGCAGGTGTGCGTCACACAACGCGCCCGCATGCAGGATATCGCGCGCTCAGGGCCAGTGAGGGGCCCCTTGTGTGTGTGTCCCAAAAAGCGCATCGGGGAATGTTGTCACAAAAGAACTTTTCTCTTCCTGAAATATATTTAATGGGGTTGTTCAAAGGTGGTTTGTTCCCCCTTAAGGAAGTTCATCTACAGGACACATGTATAGGCCTAGAATATATTCACACAAACGCTTTTCATTTCAGTTTTGTTAGTTCATTGAGTTTCCTTGAGTTGGCTTGGCTAAATATATAATTTACTATATAATTTTCATGTAATTTAGAGTCTGCTTTGAGTTTCTGTTAATTAAGTGTTGAATTATTAATTGCTTGTCAATTAATGTGGGTCAGGGGGATAGCATGGATTCATGTGGATATTTCGTACAGATTGTAGCTTATAAACAATCGCTGCTCGTTTCATCTGAGCCGCGTTTCCCATATGCATCGGAACATATGCGTGTATTATCGTCCTTGATCTGCTGTCGTCTAGGCTGCTAAAGACAGAAGACGGACACCTGCAGCCCCCTGCAGGACACCTGCTGCATTACATCACATAGGATGTACAGTACTATCAGAAAACTGAACTACCTTCAGAAAATATGTAGCCTAGCCTATTATAATTTATATATTCACATTTCTTTAAATCAATAATACAATTAATTCAAAACTAAATTAAAATACGACTAAATTAATTAGAAGGCTAATAATAGGCTTATAGGCTACACTGATTTCAGCGAACTAGTCCTTACCACAAATTGTTATGATTGTTGCATAACATGACATTCAGAGGAAGTGGATATCTTGTTTTAAGGCGAAAATGTACCAATGGCTCTGCAGTCTGAAGAAAACGGGAGAAACATGTCAATGAAGCTCGTTAAATGATCTCAACTAATCGCGATTAATCGCATCCAAAATAAAAGTGTGTGTTTACATAATATATTGGGTGCAATGTGTATAATATATATATATATATATATATATATATATATATATATATATATATATATGCATGCATTTAAGAAAAAAATATTATTTATATTTAAAAATATTTATATATAATATAAATTATATCTTAATCTATATACAGTACATGAAAATATTTCTTAAATACAAGCATGTGTGTGTATTTATAGCATATAGGCCTATATAAAATAATTATACACAGTGCACCCACATATAAACACAACTTTTATTTTGGATGGTTTGACAGCCTATTATTAAAAAAAATACTTTAATCTTTTCTATCAATTAGCTAAATGATAAGTAAGCCTATTTATACCGGTTTATGGGGAAAGCCGCGTTATTTCAGCGCTTCATGACACTACACGTTTGCCTCCATTCCCTGTGAATTTAATTTGTCTGCTTTGTTTGTATAGGCTATTTGTCTGAAATCAGTGTAGGCCTAATTAATTTAGCCTACTAATAATTAATTTATCAAATGCCTATTTTAAGATAACAGTAAGTTTAAAGAAGGCATATGAGGCTACATAATGAAGTGCAATGAGGAGTAAGCTAGTGGTTGTTGTAGATGATGAGATGAATGAGGGTTCGCTGCAAATTAAACGGAGGAACGCATTTTCTAAAGAAGAGGCTGTTCCACACACTCGCGCGGGGGATTGTGGGATTTACAGCGGACGTCGTCAAAAAAAATAAAATAAAATTAGAAATGGTCATCTTTGCTAAAATGGTGATAAACACAGGAGTGATAGCCTACCAGTGCCTTACTTGTGCTGTATAGGCCTATTACTCATTTGAATTCATATTTGAAATACATTCTGGATGCTTTCGGTATAAACTGTGGCTGGGTCAACAAGTCAATTTATTTATTTATATAGAGATTGTTTCAAAGCAGCTTTAACAGTGATAACAGGATTTCTGGTAGAGCAGATCTAGAAGAAAACAGTGTCATAATCCAGTTGAAGTAAATTCAGTGATGCTTCATTTTTGTTATTAATTTAGTTCACACACACACACACACACACACACACACACACACACACACACACACACACACACACACATATATATATATATATATATATATATACAGTATATAGCTCTAGAGAAAACAGTGACGTCCAGCTCAATGCAGATCAAATATAATAGGCATTGAGTGTCCCCAACTAAGCAAAATGCCAAAGGTGACAGTGGCGAGGATCCAAAAGTCTAACAGATGTGCGTGTGTTTATGTACAGGTTTATATTACATTGTACACATGGGACATGTGTGAGTAAGTAAGATTTTTATATAGGCTACAATTACATTTGGAAAGTAAATGTTTTGTGACATGCACTTCCTTCGAATTAATTCTGAATTAAGGATATATTGCATCCTTGTTATGAGGTCGTGGGTTTGTTGCGGACAGAATGAAATCCACCAATACGAATGAGGACAAATTGTTCTTCTTTGATATACAGCATTTGACTCAGAGGCGCGTGAGAACACACACACGCGCGCGCACGTTAATCTCGCGCTCACGGTTCCGCGAGTGTGCGGTGGTCCTGAGGTTTCCTCAGACTGACCTGGCCTCTAGTGTCAACACGGGTTGTCGGTTTCCCAGTGCTCGGGCACACAATTGAATTCCCAAGATTGTTGGGAAAGGTTTCAGCTGGACAGCAGTGGTTTGCACGAGCGCACCTCGCCCCGCGCGCGCCCATTGAACAGAGGAGAGGGGTCAGCTGTGTTTGCCATACACAGGAAAATAGCCAAAGATTTGATTCGCACAAAATCCGGCCATTGTTACGAAGCACATGATTTTTGTCTGAATCCAAAATAATTTGGTCAGTTGAGCTGAGTGATTTCATTTTTTCGTTTTCCTCCTTTTTCATTTGGACATGGAGTGAAGATTCACCCTACGTGATGTTTTCTGTTATTGGCTTTGATGAACAATAGATGACACTAGAAGCATGCCAGAATTGTTATTGGGGTGTATTATGATACTCCACAGTCGTTTATAAATAGGAAATGTACACACAGTTTTGTATGGGCGAGAAGGGACGTGCAGATGTCCTAATGATGTTAAAAAACGGTCAGCTAAAAATAAGTGATGTGTCATTTTCCTGTATAGATAATGAAGGAGATTCTTGCTAGATCACGCAGAGACCTCAAGATGACCCCGGGTGGCCAAGGTCACTCAGATGCTATCATGCATTTGTGTATTATTTAACATTATGCATGCCAGATTTTTTTTTTTTTAGAAAAAAAAAATAATACATTAAATATAATCATGGCATCTCTCTGTTAGAAGCGTTAATAGTCAAGTCACCATTATTTATAGCACTTTTACAATATAGTCTTGTATATTTACACTATCTCTTCTGCTCACCAATTGCATCTATTTGGTTAAAAATACAAAAAAAAAAAAACAGTAATACTGTGAAATATAAAAATTTTAAACAGCTGATTTATATGTGAATTTATAGAAAAATGTAATTTTATTCCTGTGATCAAAGCTGTATTTTCATCATTATTACTCTCATCTTCAGTGTCACATGATCCTTCAGAAATCACTCTAATTTGATGATTTGATGATCAAGAAACATTTCTGATTATTATCAATGTTTAAAACAGTTTTTTACATTTTTATTTCAGGATTATTTGATGAATAGAAAGTTCAGAAGAACAGCAAGATCTGAAATAAAATCTTTTGTAACGTTAAACACTACAGTTCAAAATTGTGGGGTCAGTAGTTTTTAT